AGGCTCCAACATCCAGGACCAGCACCTGCTAGATCCCAGCTTGGGCCATGGGTTACTCTACAGAGATGCTCTGCAGGGACTGCAGTATCTCGAGAAGGGGTTTCAGACTTCCCAGGGGGACAGATCACCCAAATTCAAAAGGGGAAGAAGGGACATAGGACCATGACCCATTTCCAGAGTGGCTGTTTCTTCAAATTGTGAAAATAGCCCCAGCAGAAACGCCCTTGGCCAGAGCTGCATCGGCTGCGTCAAGCTACGACAGTACACAGCATTTCTGTGCCGGTCAGTGTCGGGAATCTCTTTGCTGGTCTGTTTGTTTGCAAAGGGAAACAAAGTCCTTGGGCTCAATGAGCCTCAGTACAAATGAATACAGTTAGTTTTCCCAACTAATCGACTTTTTATGAGTTTTGATGTGTTTCCAGCCTAATTTTCACCTGCTCATTCTTGTACCTTTGTTTAGTACACCTCTTTTTTTCCTTTTGGTCTTCAGCCCTAGCTCTGCATGCCTCTGGGGTTTGGGTTTCTCCTGTTTGATCTTCCTATAGGCAGCAATCTATCCTCCACTATACGACCCTCTCAGGTTTTGCCGGGCTGAACAGATTGAACTCAGCCTGAGGCTTTCTTGGCCATGCTGTCCTCTTCCCATTACATGCTCCAGTTTTGCTTCTTATTTTTGCACAAACACAGGTAGAACCATCCACCCTGTTTCTGGCAGGGGTCACATCCTTGCCCAGCGCTAGTCTCATCTTCAATGCACCACCAGCACCGCACCCACCTCTGTCTGAACCCTCCCATTCACAGCAACGAGTGATGTTAATTTGATGAACCTTTTGCAAATCTTATTCTTTCCAGTGGCACACTGCTCTGGCTTCAGGCCCTTTCCTTGCAGAACTTCAGTGTGCCACCATGAAGGGATGGGAGGACAGCAAACTCTTCCATCCTCTGAGCATCTCGGGACATGCTTGGGGCAGTGATTTGCAAGGGACGTGCCTGGAGCATCAGCTGCATAACAGCAATCGGGAAGCAAACTGCTAATCCAAAAGAGACCCTTGGGGTCTTGCCAGTGCAGCCACAGTAGGATAAGAAAATGGCAGTTGCCCTTGTTTTCCAAATCTGACCGAGCCGTTCAAAGCATCGCAAGGTGGGTGCAAGACCCTTTCTCATCAGAGCTAGTGTCCAAGCTCGCCTGATGGCAAATGGTTACAGCGCGGATGCTGGCTCCAACCTCCACAACGAAGCCTTTTCCCGCTTTTAGTAACCTATTTTCTTGCAGTGGATGGTCCCTCAGCCCCAAAAACCCCATCAGACACTTTCTAATGAAGTTAACATAGCTATATTTCCCCAGTTCTGTGCACAAAGGATTGATTTAACTTGTCGAAAGTAGGTATTTGTACTAGGACACGTCAGGGCAGCCGAGCAGCCCGCAGCGGCTGGCACGTAAGAGACGGGACCCGAGTGTCGAGAGGGTTTTGTTTGCTCCGTGTTTTCCTGGAACAGCTCGGTCGCTTTGTGCACGCAAGATATATAAAGAAAAAAAGCCGATGACAAGACTGGCTGCTGCATGGGGCAGCAGGTCACGTCCTGGCAGAGCTTCACAGGATGTGAAACTCCCTGGGGGAAATAGGGCGGAGGAAGAGGAGGGCTCACTGCAGAAATCCCAGTTTGCCCTCCCAGTTGGCCAGTGGGACGCTGGGCTCAGCTGGCATCTCTCACAAGGACAGTCCACTCCAACCTCCAGCCCGTGGCCAGGCTGTGAACATGGGGGTGCTGGGTGGTCTCCATCCCTCGTCCAGCCACCTCAGGGGCAGAAATCCACTTACTCGCAGTGGGGCCAAGAGCACGGGGACCCTCATCCTGATGGTGTGCCTTTGGGGTGAGTGGCATTCGCCTTCGCTGCTGACTGCAGAGAGCCCGTTGGCCACATGGGCTCCTCCAGCCTGCTCAGCTAGCACTTCGTGGAGCACAGCACAGGCTGGTCGGGGGTCCTGGGTTTCACTCAGGTGTCTGGGGCAGGAGGATATGGCTTGTGATGGCTTCGGAGGAGGGTGAAAGTTTTTTTACCAAAGTCAGGAGCTCAGCTATTCTCTGCTTCAGCTACTTTCTGCACATGCGGTTTTGCCCCGTAATCAAAGGCTTATGCCCCATAATTAAACGCTTGTGAGCGTTATGAGAGTGGAGGGAAGCATGCCCGATCCTGAAGCTGTCTCGTAGCTGGTCATGGCCTCCTGACCTGCTGTAATCTTGGCTTATCCCAGACCGTATATGGCAAACTCATGGTATTGCAGCATGGAGGGGGCTTGGCCAAACCCAACAGCACTGTGCATTAACAGCGGTGGCTCCCTATATGATGGAGAGGTGAGCAAGTAGGGACATACATTGCCGGGACAAGGCTGGTCACTCGTGGATGCGCAGCACAAGGAACTGAACAGGTTTTGGGCTAACAGGGCAGACAGGCAAGATGCTGGCAATAGACACGTCCCTTCTTGTGCTCAGGCAGAGCCACAAGGAAGCTGCAGACCCTACAGGTCTGTTACCCGCAGGCATGGTTTGCCCTCAGACACCGGTGCAGAGATGGGGAAGAGCTCTGCTGCAAGAGCAATGTTGTGCCGATGGTTCAATGGCAGCTTTGCTCTGGAAACGGTTAAGAAAGGGCTCAGGGCTTTGCCAAAGCTGCCCCAGCTCAGAGCAGAAGATGGTTACTTGATTTGGGCAACCTTCTTAGTGCTGTTTCACATTTACGAAGAGCATGAGCAGAAACATCTTCTGATCAGGTTTGGAGTGAGCAAAATTAGGAACGTCTTTTCCCTGCTGGTAGAGATTTCATTTTAATTTCCAGGCTGATCAGTTTCTAAGGCCAGTTTGTATCACTGCCTCTTGGAACTAAAATTTTGCTTTAACTCGCTTGGGTTTCCTCCTTCTTTGGTGACCTGTTCATTAACAGTACAACTTTCCCACCTTTTTTTTTTTTTTTTTTTTTAAATCCTGCTCCTGGAAAATTCAGTACAGCATTTGGCTCTTCAACAGTCAGTATCTCCTGACTGGTTGGAGACATCTGGGCTTGGACTTGTCCACCCAAGTACAGTCAATGCACATGTGGCCAGGCAGTGCTTATAAGAAACATGCCAAGAAATCTATCATCTGATTTATTGCTTATCACAGGGTAGCCTCATTGATCCTAGTAAAAATAAGAGAGGTGCATGGAGAAAGGATGAAACAGAAGAGCCAGCCATCGTCAGGACTGTGCTGTTAGCCTGGGAGAGCTTGCAAACTGGAGACCGAGTGCTCACAATGCATCTGGTTCAGCCTCCTCGTAGAAGTGAATTTTGAGTGGCAGCTTTGCAAAGGGGCTTTATTGCAAACACAATTTATTGCAAACACACTTTATTGCAAACACACTTCATTGCAAAGACGCTTTCCTGTTCCCCACTGCGCAGCCTGAATGGCAGAGTTGAGCTAGGCACGCCTGCATGCCGCGTGCCATAGCTGCCCAGATGCTGTTTGTATCTGAATGACTCAGGGATTTGTTTTTTAACCTTTTTCATCCTCTTTCTGGCCCCTGTGACTTCCCAAGTGCTACATCTGGCCCCGCACTTGCCGATGGTTGGACCCACACACAGATCAGTGCCTGAGCACTTCGGAAATCATTATCCACGGTCGAAAAGCTTATTTACACAATGCAATCATATCCCTCTTGAACTTTTTTTTCTGCTGACCCTGATGACTAGGTCAGACCGGTCTCCACATGACTGATGGAGACCAGGAGACTGCTGACCGGTCTCCATGTGACTGATGTCCAGTTACGGCTCCTTTCTGCACTGTTTCCCTTTGGTTCATGCTCTTGCAAAAGCATGCCTGTGGGACCAGCGGCAATCTCTCACCGTGGGTCTTGCACAGTGCCAAGACCTTTAGCTCAAGCATGTTTCCACTTGTCCCTGCAAGCTTGCCACGCAGCTGGACTCCAAGGCATTACCCACTCTTGATGGTGAAGCTACATCTTTGCTGCTGGCCGCTTGTACAAAAACATGCATAAGTGCAAATACCTATTTTTTCTGCTTGTTATATATGCAAGAAAAGGGCTCATGGGGTGTGGGGTCCACACTGAGGTTAAGATGGTTAAATTCAGGGTTTAGATGCAGAGATGGGGCTCAGCTGACTACAGCTGCCCAGGGTCATCTGTGATGCCCAGGGCAGGTGTGGGATGGTCACCACCACCTCTGAAACCCTTTTGGGGGGGCAGGAACCACCTCAAACTTGTGAGCAGCCGAGATCCATCCACCTCCAGGATTTCACCTCCCCTCCTCTTTCCCCTCTTGGCTTTGCAGGCACAGCCGCTGGGAGTCCAGGGGGGTTCCTTCGCCTGGCAGGTGGCCCTGGCCGCTGTGCTGGGCGGGTGGAGGTGTTCCACAATGGGACATGGGGTACAGTGTGCGACGACAGCTGGGGTTCCCGCGAGGGCCGAGTCGTATGTCGGCAGCTGGGCTGCGGGACAGTGCTGTCGGTGGCACCAGGAGCTCGGTACGGAGAAGGGACGGGACAGATCTGGTTGGACGAAGTCAACTGCACCGGGGAGGAAAGGGACCTCTCCGAATGCCAAGCCAAGCCATGGGGTGAACACAACTGTCATCACGTGGAGGACGTCAGTGTTGAGTGCTCAGGTAGCCCGAGACAGCAGCCATCCAACTGTGCACCACCTCCACCCCTACATCCCTTCCTGCTGTACTGGCAGTGATGCACAACCATTCTCCGACTGTCCCCCTTGCAGACTCCAGCATCACCGCCCTGGGTACCCTCCAGCTGCTCAACGGCCCCAACCGCTGCGCCGGGAGGGTGGAGGTGCTCCACAATCACATGTGGGGGACAGTCTGTGACGACGGCTGGGACCTGGTGGACGCAACGGTAGTGTGTCGGCAGCTGGGCTGCGGCACGGCACTGTTTGCCACCAGTGGGGCTCGCTTTGGGAGGGGCAACGGTCCCATCTGGCTGGATGAGGTGAACTGCACCGGCACCGAGGAGACCCTCTTCAACTGCAGGGCCAGCGCGTGGGGGGACAACAACTGCTTCCATGGGGAGGATGCTGGAGTGATATGTTCAGGTAAAACTCACCTTGAGGTGCGAGAGGGGTCAACGCCAGACTTTCAGGGTTTCCTAAGGGATCACGGGATGGCTCTTGCATCCCTCCCAAGGGTGCTTGCCCACAGCATCCCCTTTGCAGCTCTGGGGAGCACCTGCAGCACACAGGCGGGCAAGTTGCCCTGCAAACCCTTCGCCCACCTCCTGCTGCCGTGGATCCAGTGCTAAGCTGCAGGAAGAGCAAAGGACCATTTGTTTGCAGTTGTGTGCATGGATGACCGAGGACCTACCCCAAAGCCTGGTTTGCCTTGGGGGCACCTAGGCTGTACCATGCAAAGCTTTCTGCAGGCATAACTCACCCTCTGCAGTTCCTGGCCATCCAGCCAGGCCACGTCTGTCTCACCCATCGCCCACGATGCAGGGCTTTTGACGGAGTTTTTGATGTATGTGTGGCTCAGCTCTTTTACTTGGGCTGCGCAGCAGGGAGCAGGAAAGCACCTTTACAATAAGGTGACTTTGCAATAAAGTGCCTTTAGAATAAGATCCTGCATCTGGGTCGGGGCAACCTCAATACAGGCTGGGGGATGAAGGGATTCAGAACAGCACTGCCAAGATGGAACTGGGGGTATTGGCGGATGAAAAGCTGGACATGAGCCGGCACTGTGTGCTTGCCAGCCACAAAGTCAGTCATATCCTGGGTTGCATCCAAAGAAACATGACCAGCAGGTTGAGGGAGGTGATCTTCTCCCTCTGCTCTGCTGTAGTGAGCCCCCTCCCCGCAGTACTGCCTTCAGCTCTGGGGTCCTCAGCACAAGAAGGACATGGACCTGTTGGAGCAGGTCCAGAGGAGGCCACGAAGATGATCCGAGGGCTGGAGCACCTCTGCTGTGAGGACAGGCTGAGAGAGTTGGGGTTGTTCAGCCTGGAGAAGAGAAGGCTCCAGAGAGACCTTATTGTAGCCTTGCAGTACCTGAAGTGGCTTATAACAAAGATGGGGACAAACTTTTTAGCAGGGCCTGTTGTGATAGGACAAGGGGTAATGGTTTTAAACTCAAGGAAGGTAGATTTAGACTAGATATAAGGAAAGAAATTTTTACGCTGAGGATGGTGAAACACTGGCACAGGTTGCCCAAAGAGGTCGTAGATGCCCCATTCCTGGAAACATTCAGGGTCAGGTTGGACAGGGGGCTAAGCAACCTGATCTGGTTGAAGATGTCGCTGTTCATTGCAGGGGGCTTGGACTAGATGACCTTTAAAGGTCCCTTCCAACCCAAACTATTCTATGATTTTTATAAAGTGACTTTGCAATAAAGTGTCTTTGCAATAAAGCCGTTTTGCAAAGCCACTCCTCAAAATTCACTTTTAAGAGGATGCTGAGCAGTGCAGGCACTTGGTCTCCAATTTGGGCCCTCACCATGCATGGAAGATGCTCATGCTGGAGCAGAAGTAGCCATGGCTCTCCCGGTGCACTTACCCTTGTGTGTTGTTGGCAGCTCCGCAGGTGTCTGTGGCTGCCGAGCTCCGCCTGGCCAACGGTTCAACGCGCTGCAACGGCAGGGTGGAGGGCACCCACAGGGCAGCCCTGTGTGATGAGGGCTGGGGTCTGGCTGAGGCTCAAGTGGTGTGCAGGCAGCTGGGGTGTGGGAGAGCGCTGTCGGCACCCGGCGGGTCGCATTTTGGGCAAGGACCCGGGCAAATGTGGCCCAACAGCATGAGCTGCCTGGGCACGGAGATTTCCCTCACTGTGTGCAAGGCGAAGCCCTGGGGCAACAACACTTGTCACCATGGGAGAGAAGCTGGCGTGGTGTGTGCAGGTAAGACCCTCAGGAGCAACGCGGCATGAGAAGTGGTGGGTCTTGGTCCGTCACCTTGATTTTCCGCCTCCACAAGCAGCTCCAGACAATGTGCCCTCTTCATGGGCATTTCCATTATGGGGTGTTGTGGCATGTCTGGGGGGCTAGAGAAATTTTGGGCGTCCTCCTGGAGGGGGTCAGTGCTGATGCCAGTGGGTGGGATGCTGCCACGGTGCAGCTTGCAGCCTCTCACCCCTTAGCCATCAGGGACTAGGGATTAGCCAGCTCCTTTTTGCAGTGGTTAGATGAGCACTTGGTGTAACGCTCAGTGACCTGAGAAGGTGCCAGAGCAGTTTTCCTTACCCTGGGGTCACAGCGTGCTGACCCTTCCCCGTATTTTCCTCTTTTAGGTAACTCAGAGGGCGACGAGGTCCGGCTGGGGAACCATGGCAGCCGCTGCGCTGGCAGGGTCGAAGTCTTCCATAACAAGCACTGGGGGACCGTGTGCGATGACAACTGGGACCTGCTGGATGCCGAGGTCGTCTGTCGGCAGCTGGGCTGTGGACGAGCGCTTTCAGCCCCCGGGGGGGGTCAGTTCGGACGTGGGGAGGGCATCATCTGGATGGATGAGACAAACTGCACAGGGATGGAGAGTACACTGACGGCTTGCCGGGCCCGGCCATGGGGCATCAATAATTGCTACCACGGGGAAGATGCTGGCGTGGTTTGCTCAGGTGACCAATGCTCCTTCAGCATTGCTCCACGTAAGGTGGCGGGAGGGGAGGGGGGTGTGTCATGATGGCAGGTCTACACCCTCAGGTAAGACTGGAGGTCAGCATCAGCAGCCAGGAGGGTTTTCCTGGACCCTCCCTGCATGTGGTGGTCCCATTGGAGGGCTGCTCTTCCTATCCCAAGGTGCTTATTTAAGGTGGTGAAATCCTGCAGGGATCCCTAGTTCCCACCCCTCCGGGAACCTTCCAGCTTCAACACCACAACCAATTCATTGTGGGGAAGCTCGTTGAAAGTGATCCATCTGGCAAGCAATTCTTGCAGGGAGTGGGGCTGGGGTCCAAGAGGATGCAGGACCAGCATGGACGACCCTCTGCAGAGAGATGCTTTGGTGCAGGGTGCTCTTGGGGGGGAGTTTTGGGTTTCACCCCCCCCATTCTCCCCTCCTCTGTGCCTTTTGGCAGCTTGAATTGGGGCTGGGAGCTTAATTGCAATAGGATAAGCATGGAAGGAAACAGGTGGCTGTCTGAAGGCATTAATAACTCCCTTGGGTGTTTGCAGACTCAATCATCCCCGAGCCGGCTCATGTGCGGCTGGGAAACGGCTCACACCGTTGGGCCGGCCGGGACCAG